TAATTGACCAATTAATTAATATATAAATATAACTACAATTATACTCATTTGACAATTAAGACGTCAATTTATAATAAACCAGGACATTGCATGCACACAAGACGTTAAAATGGTTTTGAAAATACTTTATTTTATGATTTATGATTTTATATTTCTATATTTAATTGTCTTTTCAGAAATGCATTAATTTGTCATTATTGTATAATGTTGCAAATACAGTACTACTATACAGTTTACTGATATATCGATATATACTGAACTAAAATCGATGGTAACTTATTATATTAATGCCTATTTATTTAAAAATTATTTTTGTTTTGGCAATATTATAAGTAGAAATCTTAAATGTAGTGTCAACCATATTTTTCAAAAACATTAACTTATAAATTTCATAAAATAGATATTGTATTTATATACGCATTAATTCAGTATTTTGAAGTAAATAAATATTCAATCTGATTTTATTTAAATTATATAATTAATAATGCACCAAATTGTTCGTATCAAGGGCTTTTTTAGAAATGTGCGTGAGCAAAACGTCAGTGTATCCAATGGTCTAACAAAATTTGAGACGTTTTGCAGGAAAACCTATCCGTTATTATGTGAAACCTATGATGACTACGATAATAATCATTTCAAAACTAGCCGGATCATAATCATAACAATTATACGTTTGAGTGCACTATTATTTTCCCTGAGGTTTTTCATTTGTGCATTTAATAACAGTCCATTAATTACTTACATAATGTCTAATCCGAGTCATACACTGGGCAATGAGCGTATGGTATCAGGGTATTTTGCTGCTATCGGGTTATTTATATTTACTAACTTTAGCGTGCTCAACTTGATCGAGTTCAATCACCGTGACTATATGCTCACTTTCATAAACAAAATCAGACATGGTAAGACTGGTTATAAACTAAATTATAAAAATCAACGCCGCTTTGGTTACATTACAAACGTGCTAGTTAAACTTATTGTCAATAAGCTATATACACCTACGTATTTATTTATGTTTATGGTAATTTCGGCGCATACAATTATAGCCTATATACTTGAACCAGATAAGTATTCATTAGTGAGTGTTATATTTTGGACTTTTATTACATTTTTATTTGCTCAGCAATTATTTAATTACGTAATGGCAGGGTCAGTTATGTGGATATTAGCTATGATTTACATGAAAGCACAATTAAACCAGATAAATCGTAATTTTATTAAAGCATTAAGCTCAAGTGACCAAGTTAAGTTCAAAGCTACCATAGAAAATCATTACATTGTTGTCAATGAAATTATGTTATTAAATGATCAGTTTATTAAATGGATTATATTTTGGGTATACTTTACCGCAACACCAGCTGTTGATCTAGTAATCTGGCTATGCTTAGACCCTGGTACTAAATTCTATGGTCGCATAGTGTTTATCATAAATGCAGTCATATTTGTTACCGTATTGTTTACCCTGACACTAATGTGCGCCTCACTGTCCAAACGCGTGCATAAATGTCGACCACTTTTACATCGGTTTTTATTTATGCCAAACCTTTCGCTCAGAAATCGTATGAAAGTCTTGCACTTCAATGACCTGTTGTCGGGTCCGGACATCACTTTCTATTGTCTCGATTTGTTTCCAATGAATTTCCACGAGTTTTACGACTATTGCTGTCAGTTTGTCGTCATTTATATACTCATTGTCCAGAACTTTGTTTAAAAACATTTATTTTAATCTAGAGATACATAATTAATATTATTATAACTTTATTACTGAGCACATATAGGTAACTATATTTATTATATGGTAAATTACATTCAAACTATATGAATTTTATTTCAAAAGGTTTAAAAGCATTTTAAAATAAAAAACAAAGTTATTAAACATTAGCTTAAGAGATATAATATGATATTAACTTGCTAATCCAAAAAACACAATCATAATACGGTAGTAATTTTAAAATTCAAATTTTATTACATATTAAACTAAAAGCATATTACACAGTTTTATATACTGTACAAGTAAGCAAGCTACTAATTACGGATCATTATCCACATAATTGTCCCTGAACGCAAACAATTTAGTCGAATTCCTGGGTGTAATAGTTTTCGGGGTTTTCCTACTTTTGTTATCCGGGTTCTTACCGATGGCTATAATAACATTTATGGTCTGCCTCTCAGTCGTCACATTGAGGGCGGCGTACGTGTCGTCGAAATGAATGCCTGCCATCGCCACCGCTGAATACCCCCGACCGGCCGCCTCGAGGGCCAGTAGGGTGTAGGCCGACCCGGCGTCAAATAACTTGTCAGGGAGGGGTAGCTTAAAGCCCTTGTACAACTCATAGTTAGCCAGCACCTGGACGACCAGGGCTGATGATTTGTTGGCCCATATTTGGTTCTGGGTTTCCAATAAGACTGCAAATTCGTTGAATCGGGGCGTATCACGAAGTGCGTACACATAACGCCAGGGCTGGGTGTTTATCCACGACGGTGCCCATCGGGTGGCCTCAAATAGGGACAGTAGCTCTGACTCGGGTATGGGTTCGCCGGTGAACTCCCGCTGTGATGACCGGTCGGCTATGAGTGGGTGTATCACGTGTTCCGGTTTACGGGCCTATGTTTGAAAATTATTGCGATAAGGTGGTTTAATTTTTATTTTTTAAATAAATTACCTTTTCAATGTCAGTGTCATATTTGTCGTCCTCGAGTGAGAATGTACTTGTTAATAAAATACTAGCCAATATTATTATTGCAAACATAATAAACAATAATTTATAATTGTTTTCAATTTACAATTAAAAATCTTTATTTTACTAATTTTATTATTTGTAAAGTTATACAGTACACTTATATATTAATTTTTGTAAGAATTTCACTAGGTCAAACATTTGTTTTTAATGATTATGAGCTGGACTTTGTCAAACGGTTACAGTAATGTATAGTTATAATTACATGATCGGTACTTGTTTATTTATTTACAAATTATACATTATAAATTGTGTTTATTTATAAATTATGAAAATGTTAAATATATTCGATTAATATTAACGGAATTTATTTTTAATTTCACTAATATGTTAATGTTATATTTATTTTTAAAATACTGTTTTTATTAACTATAAATAATTATTAAATTAGTATATTTGCACCTTTCATACTATCTGCACTAAATGTGTCTGGTACTAATCATCATATCATCATATGGTAAGATATCATCATATTTTACGGGCACATGTGTATTTAGAAATGTGGTGGAGATTTTATTTTTAAAATGTAATAGATAAAATAAATATTAAATTATGAAATAATTTTCGAAATATTACTTGTGGTATTACTCTAACATTTTGCCATAAAATATATTTTTATACTATTAATTTTATTATTATTAATTTAGTTAATTATGGGCATCGATTAATATAATTATAAACATATTCTGTAACAAATAAAATAATCATCATAATCGTTAGTTATGCTTCATTTTATATAAAATAATTAGCATAATAAAAAAAACTGTATTATAATTATTAAATTTACAGTATTGTAAAACAAACTTTTTTCTAACAAATCTTTATAATATTCTCGATAGCATTCAACCATTTGATTGCATTTTGCTTTGCAGCCAATTTTTGTATCCAAGTAAATTTTTGTTTACGACCAAACTTTTATTACATGTCGTATCGTAACATTGAAACCTATAATTATATTGATAATTAGTGTTTTTAACTAGATTATCAAATATGCATTTCGTAGAACAATCATCCCTGGACATATCATTTGGGCACTGACCCCGCGGATTGAATGTATATTTGATAACAGTTTTGTGATAATTGATAACGACACGGTTATTATTAACAAAAATTAGTTGCTTGGAGTTGCTAGTAACATCTATTAGCTGGGAACCACTTGAATGTATGGAAACTCCAGCTACTAAAGTAACATGTTTGTTAAATTTAATTGTAATTCTTGATCCTTTATTTATTTTTAATGAAATATTAGTATTATAATCCGAAAATAATGTGAGACAATAAAATGCCCAATCCATTGATACCTTATATTTTGTATACAATACTGAAAGATTCCAATACCAGGGACACTTATTAAGCAATATAACCATGAACTTTCTGGTAATATAGAATCAAATTGTTCATTAATCGGGCGATTATAAAATTTAGCAAAATTATTGTAAGTTTGATTGTTATATTTTAATAGTTTCTGTTAACAAATATAATACTTATACATATTGTTATGGCCGGTATTGGGCTGTTGTCCTCAAAGTCGTAACTAACATAAGACGTGGTTTGGTATGAAAAGTACAGATCACTCATAGTGTACATCTGATACAAACATCCCATCAAACATAATACAATATTTGACAAAATATTTTTAAAATGTTTTTAATTAATTTATTTATAATTAAAATTAAATGTTTGACAATTTGTCTTAAATCCAATAATGTAAGTTATAATATTTTTAAGTTTTCAGATATGCAACTAGGCAAAGGGAGCATTAAAAATATGAATAACAAAGTTGCATAATACAGATATACTAAATTATGTTTTAAAAATAGTATATCCATTAAAATAATCGCTTTAATACACTTAATGTAAATTACATGTACTTTTAAATCAATAACATTTTAATAGCTCAAAAACTTAATATAACTTTATAACTTTTTAATTTCAATTTAAATTATCCATTTAAAGGTCAATAAACTAAGTGATTAACAAATTGTAATAATATTTTAGTTTATCATTATTTAGATAAAATATGTCTAATATTGATTTTGCGATTATACTTTATAATAAAAATATTATTATGTCTTTGGATTAAAGTGTTGTAAGTTTTATGAAACCAATTTGTAATTATATAAAAATCAATTTTTGAAAATATTTTTTGAATAAAATCCGTGAACATAACGACAGAGAATCCAAACCATAGACTCACAACACTTGCCATAAGACACACGTATTCCTCGACAGACATTTTAAGGGATATCTCATCCATAATAAATGGTTGATCTACCGGTGCAATCGTTACTGAAAGGGGTTTATTAGGTATCACTTTTGCCACGTCTGTCCGATAATATTCTCGATAGCATTCAACCATTTGTTTGCATTTTGCTTTGCAGTCAATTTTTGTATCTAAGTATATTTTTGTATTTACGACAAAACTTTTATTACATGTCGTATCGTAACATTGAAACAAATAATTGTATTCGTAATTTGCAGACATTTTGAATATATTATCAAATATGCATTTTTTAATCCAATCATCCCTGGACATGTCATATAGGCACTGACCCCGCGGATTAAATGTATATTTTATAACAGTTTTGTGATAATTAATTGAGACAGAGCTATTATTAACAACAATCGATTGCTTGGAGTTGCTAGTTACATCTATTACCGGTGAACTACTTGAATGAATGTAAACTTCAGCTACTAAATTAACATGTTTATCAAATTGAATAATAATGCTTGATCCTTTATTTATTTTTAATGAAATGTTAGTATTATAATCCGAAAATAGCGTAATACAATAAAATGCCCAACTTAAAGATACCTTAATTTTTGTATAAAATGAACAATGCTTAAAAATTCCAGTAGTACGAGTACCAGGGACACTTATATAGCAACTTAACCATGAACTTATTGGTGATATAGCATCAAATTGTTCATTAATGGGTAATTTATTAAATTGCACATAACTATTATAAGTCTGATTGTAATGTTTTAATAGTTTCGATGTTAATAAATATATTTTAGGTATACATAGTGTTATGGCCGGTATTGGGCTGTTGTCCTCAAAGTCGTAACTAACATAAGACGTGGTTTGGTATGAAAAGTACAGTTCACTCATAGTGTACATCTGATACAAACATCCCGTCAAACATAACATTTGACAACATATTTTTAAAATGTTTTTAATTAATTTACTCATAATTAAAATGTTTATATAATAGTTAAAAGTATAGCTGATAATTTAAGCTAGAATATTTATATGATTTTAGATATGCAGCTAGGCAAACCGAGTTTTAAAAGTAAGAATAATAAAGTAACATAACACAGCTATGTATTTTATATACTGTAATTGATAATGATATACTTAAACTATTATAATAAATTATACACTCAATGAAATTAAAATATGTGAAAGTATAATTTATTTCAAAATATAAATTTATTTATTTTATGATGTTGTATAATATATTTTTACTTTAGTTTTATTTATTAAAAGGTTGTTGAATTTATTTTATATAGTATTCAAATCATATAAATTATTTTTATAAAACATTAAGATTCTAAATAAGTATATGTACTGTATACATTTGCAAAATTACACACTTCACAAATTAATCAATCAACATAAAAAGACTTGCGATTAAACTTTTCCGTAACCAAGGTCTAATATTTTAAACACATTTCATCAAATGTCAAAATAATTTCCAAATGTTTGTAAACATTGTAAATACAAGTTTAGTATAAATATTTATAACATTTACTATAAAATAAATAACACCAAAAATTGTCCTTAAAAACATTTATTTATAAAATTTTATAATTATTAAACTCTGTAGTGATTATTATGCAATTAATGTAATTTATTAAGATATATTGCAAATGTAGACTAAATTATTAACAAACTATTCAAAGATATACTTCAAAAGCATTAGCGACTAAAACGCGACAAATATATAAATATTGTCTCAAGTGTTTGAAATCAGATATAAGTAGTGTTTTCACAGATATGATAGCATTTCGTATAATTTGTTTTCCAATATTAATACAAAATATTTGTATTAATTAGTTGTTAGACATATCGCTAAGTACTATCTCAAGTGTTTGAAATCAGATATAAGTAGTGTTTTCACAGATATGATAGCATTTCGTATAATTTGTTTTCCAATATTAATACAAAATATTTGTATTAATTAGTTGTTAGACATATCGCTAAGTACTATACTTACAGTAATTGATGATACATTGTTATTGTCACTTCACAAGTAGTTATATTTTGTATAATAATAATTTAACACATTTAAGTAATTTATTAGCCAGCTAATTAGCAATGAAAGTTGAACACATATCGGACATAATTGGCTCATTTGGAAAATTTCAACTAAATATAGCTGCTTTTTATTTTACAATTTACATACTGTCCCCGTTTAATAATTTTGGTATTAGTTTTCACGCCCCGCAACTGGACTACTGGTGCGCCGACAATACAACTATTCATAATGTAACTAGCAATGGTAATAAGTCAAATTTTGTAAGTCTTACAAGTTAGTTGACCTATTAAGACTACTTTGTAGTAATATTTTATTATCTCTACAGACTTTGCATACGAAATATAGTGATAATGCAAGTGATGTTTGCGATACTGACTGTAATCACTGGGAGTTTGATGATAGTTATGGCACTACTATTATACAAGAGGTGTGTTTCTAACTTTTAAAAGTTTATATAATTTTATTCAAAAATTGCTTTCAATTATGTAAAGTATTTTAAATATTGTATAACTTTTTATGTCGGACTTTTTATTATAAAATTTTTAATTTATAGTTTCAATTAGTTTGCGACAAATCATGGTTACCCTCATTATCGCAGTCTATCTACCAATCGGGTTACGCCGTAAACGGCTTAATACTAGGCTATCTATCAGATAGGTTTGGTCGACGACCGGTGCTTTGGTTAGCCATTATACTGGAAATATGTGGGGGACTTTCAGTCATATTCTCGGGGTCTATGACCCAGTACATTATAAGTAGATTTTTTCTCGGTTTGGGTGATAGCGGACGTGGAGTTTGTCTTTACTTATTAGTATTTGAAACTGTATGCAAAGTTTGCATTGCAAACCTTATGTAATATTTCTATAAATAAATTTTAATCCCTGTCCCCAAACAGGTTGGTTCCAAACACCGGGCAAATGTCATACTATTGATAAGCTTTGGATCGATCTTAGGATTCATTTCATTACCAGGTTTTGCATATTTGGTACAAAACTTCCGGTATTTACAACTTATACCGACACTCGTGGCACTGGTGTTGTTGGTCACGTGGTTGTGGACAATACCCGAGTCACCCAGGTGGTTGCTATGTAATGGCAGTATTGATACAACAAAAGAAACCTTGATAAGATGTGCCAAAACTAATGGTCAAAACTTGAATAATAATTTTGAGAAACAAGTGTCTGATTTGGAGAAATATATAAAACTGGTATTTATTTAAGTTAATAAGTTATTAGTTATATTAGAATTGAAAATATTACCTTGCGCGTATTTATAATAATATTAATGTTACTCGTTTTAAACCTACTTATTCAAACTGTAACATTTTAATTAATGACAAAAATATGTCTATATTTAAAACAACAAATTTTATAATCTGGCTCACATAAAATACGTGTAACATAAAATACTATAAATTTAAATTTCTAGCATATTAATTAGTTATCACATAATTTTTATTGAATTAATTTTTAGACACAAAACACAGCCAACGTCCAAAAGCACCGGACGATACTGGACCTACTGTCCCACCGACTGATGCGGAACTATACCCTTATATTCTGGTTCTCATTCGCTGTGAACGCATTCATATATCACGGAATATCGCTGAATGTGCAACAAATCGGCGGTAATCTGTACGTCAACTTATACTGTCCCACCGACTGATGCGGAACTATACCCTTATATTCTGGTTCTCATTCGCTGTGAACGCATTCATATATCACGGAATATCGCTGAATGTGCAACAAATCGGCGGTAATCTGTACGTCAACTTTGCCATCGCAGGGCTGGTGGAGATACCATCCATACTACTCAACCTGATAGGCCTTAAATACGTGGGCCGCAAGTGGTTCACGGTTTGGACTATGCTTTTGGCATCCATTTCCTATTTAGCTATTGTGCTGTTGAGCGCATACAAGGATTCTATGGATAGTTATTACGAAACCGTGAAATTGGTGTTTGCGATGATCGGGAAGTTATTTATTTTCAGTTCATTTAATGTTATTTATATACATTCGGGCGAAATATTTCCCACTGTTTTGAGGCACACAGGGATCGGTAGCTGTACGATAGCCGCCCGGTTTGGCTCAATACTGGCGCCATTTGTTAAGGAAATGGTAGGTGTTTTGGGATAACCACCCAAATTAAATTTACAAAATTTAAAACTGTAATTGTTTATTTAAATAAGTTTATTTATACAGTATTTAGCTCTAGTGTTTAATAATTTAATGGGCCAAAAATAGAAATAATTATCTAGAATATTTTTTATAAACTTATTTTATTAATTTTATTTTATCAGAGTAATAATTTTGATGTAAAAATTATATGTTTAGAGCGAATACTATAACTTTATTATATCGATGCTCGTGTTTGGTTTACTGGCATTTATGGCAACCCTATTGACTTTATTTCTGCCCGAGACTAAGGACAAGGATCTACCGGACAGTATGCGTGACGTGAGTCGCATACAAATGACTGACACAACCGCCCGCACCGAAGTGACCACTTTATTGGAGCAGTAGATTCACAATCACCACAATTACATGTTATGGCATACATGTGCTTAAAAGCAATCATACAACTTATGACTATTTTGTAATAAAATATTATTTTAAATTGAAACGAAGTGACCACTTTATTGGAGCAGTAGATTCACAATCACCACAATTACATGTTATGGCATACATGTGCTTAAAAGCAATCATACAACTTATGACTATTTTGTAATAAAATATTATTTTAAATTGAAAAATTTGTTTAAAAAATGAATTAATAGATTTTATAAATAATTATGTTTATAAAAATTTAAGTTTCACCTTATATTATAATGTTATATTCCAACTGGGTGTTTTATTAGTTTTTAATAAATAAATTTATATTTATGATAGATTCAATAAAGCACTTTTAAATAAAGTAACACTGTAATTATATTTGTAAAACATGTTCGTATTAATAAAATCTAAAATTCACCAATTTTTTTGTTACCATTTGTCAATTTGTGTAGGTCCATTTTAAAAATATTATAATTTATTAGAAATGCAATATTGTATACTGATGAAAAATGTTTATATATAATTTTAAATTTAAACAATTATACAATTTTTAAAACAATAATAAATACTTTCCGACATTTTCAGCGACCAAAGGGTACACTTGCGTTATAAATGTCGGGCACCGGTAGATGAAATGTCTGAGAAATTAACGAACGAAACTCCCGATGTTGACAGTGAGCTAACCCGGACGAGCGTAGATACCGGTGCCGGTCTTTACAGCCTATCGGACGAACAGAAACAACTGGACATCCAATGGATGTGCGAAAACGGATTCATCATTGAGTGGGACGACAGTCTGAGTCTAGGTTTTGGCTCAACGGCCGATGCCGTATACCGGGGCACATATGGACAGCAGGTATTCGTCAATCGCATCATAAATTTTAAAATTATTTAATTTTCATAACTTTATATCGTTTTCTAGATTACAAAATTAGCGGATAGGTATCATCAACATATCCGAAATGTCGATCCGGGTGATTTATTCGCAGCCAAATACTGTCAGCCCAGGGGTCGTATGTATAAAATGAAAGCATTTGAATACGAGAAGGATCTCATGAAATGTGTTTCTCATCGCAATGTCTTAGGGCTGCGAATGGCCATCAATTTGGGACAAAAGCAGACCATCGAGAGGTTCACTGGTGTGGGCACTGAGACCACCAAATTTGACACCTATTCCCGTATGTTCCTGATCATGGACTACGCTGACCATGGTTCGTTGTGCGAGTTTTTACTGAAAAAGGACCCACCACAAACGGACATGTGCAATGGTCCGGTGCTACACTCACTACTCGCGGATCTATGTTATGGTAATTCACATAAAACTAGCAATAATTTTGAAATTAATTAATTAATTTCGCTGTCTATTATAGGTCTACAATACTTGCATAGTGTGAACATATTCCACGGAGATATAGGTAAGAGGTAGAGGTATTCCACGGATACCGACTCGTAATAACCGGATAGATGTTGGAGATTGAGATGANTTACACACTTCACAAATTAATCAATCAACATAAAAAGACTTGCGATTAAACTTTTCCGTAACCAAGGTCTAATATTTTAAACACATTTCATCAAATGTCAAAATAATTTCCAAATGTTTGTAAACATTGTAAATACAAGTTTAGTATAAATATTTATAACATTTACTATAAAATAAATAACACCAAAAATTGTCCTTAAAAACATTTATTTATAAAATTTTATAATTATTAAACTCTGTAGTGATTATTGTGCAATTAATGTAATTTATTAAGATATATTGCAAATGTAGACTAAATTATTAACAAACTATTCAAAGATATACTTCAAAAGCATTAGCGACTAAAACGCGACAAATATATAAATATTGTCTCAAGTGTTTGAAATCAGATATAAGTAGTGTTTTCACAGATATGATAGCATTTCGTATAATTTGTTTTCCAATATTAATACAAAATATTTGTATTAATTAGTTGTTAGACATATCGCTAAGTACTGTACTTACAGTAATTGATGATACATTGTTATTGTCACTTCACAAGTATTTATATTTTGTATAATAATAATTTCACACATTTAAGTAATTTATTAGCCAGCTAATTAGCAATGAAAGTTGAACACATATCGGACATAATTGGCTCATTTGGCAAATTTCAACTAAATATAGCTGCTTTTTATTTCACAATTTACATACTGTCCCCGTTTAATAATTTCGGTATTAGTTTTCACGCCCCGCAACTGGACTACTGGTGCGCCGACAATACTACTCTCCATAATGTAACTAAACATGGTAATAAGTCAAATTTTGTAAGTCTTACAAGTTAGTTAATTTTATAGTTGTTATTAAGACTACTTTGTAGTAATATTTTATTATTTCTACAGACTTTGCATACGAAATATAGTGATAATGCAAGTGATGTTTGCGATACTGACTGTAATCACTGGAAATTTGATGAGAGTTATGGCACTACTATTATACAAGAGGTATGTTTCTAACTTTTAAAAGTTTATATAATTTTATTCAAAAATTATCTAGTTGTTTTCAATTATGTAAAGTATTTTAAATATTGTATAACTTTTTATGTCGAACTTTTATTATAAAATTTATAATTTATAGTTTCAATTAGTTTGCGACAAATCATGGTTACCCTCATTATCGCAGTCTATCTACCAATCGGGTTACGCCGTAAACGGCTTAATATTAGGCTATCTATCAGATAGGTTTGGTCGACGACCGGTGCTTTGGTTAGCGATTATACTGGAAATATGTGGCGGACTTTCAGTCATATTCTCGGGGTCTATGACCCAGTACATTATAAGTAGATTTTTTCTCGGATTAGGTGATAGTGGACGTGGAGTTTGTCTCTATTTATTAGTATTTGAAACTGTATGCAAATCCTATGTAATATTTCTATGAATAAATTTTAATCCCTGTCCCCAAACAGGTTGGTTCCAAACACCGGGCAAATGTCATACTATTGATAAGCTTTGGATCTATCTTAGGATTCATTTCATTACCAGGTTTTGCATATTTGGTACAAAACTTCCGGTATTTACAACTTATACCGACACTCGTGGCACTGGTGTTGTTGGTCACGTGGTTGTGGACAATACCCGAGTCACCCAGGTGGTTGCTATGTAATGGCAGTATTGATGCAACAAAAGAAACCTTGATAAGTTGCGCCAAAACTAATGGTCAAAACTTGAATAATAATTTTGAGAAACAAGTGTCAGATTTGGAGAAATATATAAAACAGGTATTTATTTAAAGATAGCATTTATATTACTAATAAGTTATTAGTTATATTAGAATTGAAAATATTACCTTGCGCGTATTTATAATAATTATTAATGTTATTCGTTTTAAACCTACTTATTCAAACTGTAACATTTTAATGAATGGCAAAAGTATGTGTATATTTAAAACAACAAATTTTAGAATTTGGCTCATGGTAAAAGCATCAAATACTATAAATTTAAATTTCTAGCATATTAATTAGTTATCACATAATTTTTATTGAATTAATTTTTAGACACAAAACACAGCCAACGTCCAAAAGCACCGGACGATACTGGACTTACTGTCCCACCGACTGATGCGGAACTATACCCTTATATTCTGGTTCTCATTCGCTGTGAACGCATTCATATATCACGGAATATCGCTGAATGTGCAACAAATCGGCGGTAATCTGTACGTCAACTT